TGGTCTGTTGACTAATTAATTGAGTCGACTGACTAGCTTGCACCTGCAGCGGGCGGTGGGTTGAATAGTGATGAGATACGGTCATGTTGTTTATCGATAAACTCGGTTTTAGTGTCGATGAAATTACAGTTGACTATATATATTCAGAATAAATTATATTATGGGCGTCTCATTGCGAAAATGGTCGTAAGTCTACCGTTTGTTGAGTTTGATTATTATGTCGTGAAAAGTATTAGAAGTAGTATTGAATCTAGAATGAGAATTAAAATCTGTATAGCATATTACGTTTCATATTTAGTATTGATATAAACTATAGTCAAGTTTCAAATTAGTTTTTATTGATATTGCTATCTGTGAATTAGATTGGGTAATAAATGTTATCAGTCCGTCTGGATTGTAAATCTGATAGTAGGTTCATTGTCTGTGTAAATAAATACAAACGAAAGAGTTCGTGGGAATTTTGCAAATGGTAATAAACTCGACCAGGTTTATAAAGTATCGCTCTTATTGTTACTAATGAAATTAGGTACCATGTCAAACTATTTACGTGAACATAGTAAATTAAGAAAATAAGGTTTATCTACATACATTTAAAGTAGCGATTGGAATAAATAACGATCGTTCAATTCAAACATATTGATAAACTCGATGCATTTAATAAATATTTTAACGAAAACCAACAGAAAGACAGCTAGCTATAAATAATTCATTGCGACGAGCCGCTTGATTCCAGTTCAATCCAGATTTTTAATTTTTATATTCAATTTTGTGTGGTGCGAATTTTAACGAAGATAGTCTTTTTTTGTTACATTTTTTTCTTTTCATTCTTTTTTTTAAACTAATTGTCTTGTAACTTTTTTCTAGGTTCACCCCTATCGGACAAAAAGTAATTAAGATTTTTTCGAAAATCAACTGCTTTTATTTAATCTATAAAGTAGTGTTAAATTGTGAAAAATAACACCTGGTTTTTGTTCATTAATTAACAGTCTGAAAATAGGCTAACTCTTTTTTGTTATCTCCAAATGACTTGCTTTTTCGATTAAAGGTCTTGATATTTGCGTTTAGTTTAACCAAGTTTAGAGAGATACATCGTGCTGGCTCGGAGGTTAAGATGCCCGCTCCTCATGCACGAGGGTACGGATTCGAAACCTACCATTATCAAGTACCAATGTGACTTTTCCGAGTTATTAGTACTTTATAAGATTATTTAGACACCACTGACTATCTGGAATCTATCCCATTTACAATATTATTGACTTATATATAAAGTTGAAAATCAATATATTTTGATTATATAAATCCTCGGATAAAGAAAAACAACCGCGCTAATTCCTTACAAAGACGTCGATCACGAATGAAAGAATCGAAACGCAACGCAGTGTAACAAAAAAAAAAGAAAAAAAACAAAAACTTGAGTAATTAAACATCGGAGTAGACATCCCGTAAGTCTCTCTAATGAGGAACAAACTTCCTTTGTTTGTAAAAAAAAAGAATATAATACTTACAGCACTGTTCTTTGGGTTTTTTTATCTGTGAGGTATTTTTTTTAAACATGTTACAAGTCCAAGTATGGACTTGACCTGTGTCTCACTGTTTCTTATTCTGCCTTGTATTTACTCTTCTGGATAATTCATTTAAGGGTTGTTTTAATGTTGAGTAAGGGAAAGAGGTGAGTAAGAATAGAAGGAGAACCCCTATTGGAGACAGTCGTGATGTTTTCACGTAATTTTAAGAACCACTTAATAATACTATAATACTACCTCTATAAATGTGAACATTTCTTTCTTTGGGTGTTTAGATATTTGTCCGTCAATCACGCTGAACAGATTTTGATGAAATTTGGTATAGAGGCAGGGTATGAGCTGACTTAGTTGTTACGATTTTTTATCCCGATTAAATGCTTCCATGGTATAAAACAAAGTCAAAGTCAAAATCATTTATTTCAATTAGACCAGGAAGGACACTTTTGAATGTCCAAGCAAAATATTGAAATATTAAATAATAAGAAAAAATGTCAGTATGTAGGTTAGTCCTCTAGTGAACAGGAATTCATATTATATGCGGACGAAGTCGCAGGAAATAATTAGTCATTAAAAAGGTTAAGTGATTGCGAAGTATGTTATTAATGTCATTTATAATCGAATGAGTGAGTTCAAAAAATCTGGAAATATTATATACATCTGCTAATACTTGTAGCTACTGGATACCATTAGCAACTTTTATGTGGATGCAAAGAATCAATAAAATCATAAAATTTTCTATTTTCTACATGTTTAGAACCATTAGGCTTGGTTTGAAATTATAATCATGTCAAAGCATACTTAGAAAAATAAAATATAGAAAAATAAAATATTAAATATTATATGCCCAAGGCATTAAATCCACCAGTACACGTGGTTTTTTATACTAAGTTCAAATAAATAAATAAATTATCAGAATAATCACATCTCAACCACTACAACTGCAAACTACCATCAATCGCGCAAACAAACTAAACATAGACAAACAAAAATAAAATAAAAACATGTTTCAACAACAAAACAAGTTAAAACAATAACAGCACTTTGTTTGCACCTACGTTACTCGCATGGATAGAGTTTGACCATCAATCAATTAAAAGAAATAAAAGTTAAACTTTAATATTAGTAATTGGTATCAATATTTATAAAGGTTTTCTTAATTTTATGAACACAATATGTAGCACAAAACAATGATTTTTTTTCAAAGGAGTGGTAAAATTTGTGTGTCTGTGTATGTTAATTTGCACATTTAAACAGGTACCTGCGATACAGGAGAAAATCCTGAAGTGGGGCAAAGATTTATTTATTTACCATTTATATACACACATACAACACAAAGGACAATACATAAATAAAAACGAGGTACTTAGGTCCCACATATTCCAACTGGAATTTCTTCCTGTGGGCCTGTGGCAGGAAAAGAAAAAAAAAGACGACAGTAATCGAGACACAGCGTGTTACACAAATAGAATAAAAAAAATTAAAAACAAATTAAAAGAAGTAACAATATTGATAAATAAAATAAACCAATACAATACAATATTGATAAATAAAATAAATCAATGCGTATTGTATTTAATAAATAATAATACCGATAAATAAACAATAAAACATATTATAAATAAACAAGTCTTTATTTCAAGAGTTTTTTTTTAATAAAAAGAAAGTCTTTAAAATACAGTAAGTCTTAGTAATGACAATCTAATTCTTATTATTTCTCTTCTTGATCATTGTTACAATAAATTTGATATCTAAATCTATGCATTAAAAAGTGTTGGTTTATTGTTCGTCATCATTTATTGTGTGGGAGAGCCCTGCTTCGGCACGAATAGGCCGGCTCGACCGGAGTGATACCACGCCCTCACGGAAAACCGACGTGAAGCAACGCTTGCGTTGTGTTTCGTCGTGTGAGTCCTCACTCACCTCTTACCGGAGGCCCAATTACCCTCCCCTTCCCCAATCTCCCCAATCCCTGAATCCCCAACGATCCTCAAACTCCTAATGCCCAAAAGGCCGGTATCGCACTTTTAACGCCTCTGGTGTTCCAGGTATCCATGGGCGACGGCGCTTACCATCAGGTGATCCGTCTGCACGTTTACCGGCTTATGCCATAAAGAAAATCATGTGGTCAAAATAAGGCTTTTGCAAGACATGTTTTGATCAGCTCAAGATAAAAGATAAGATGTTCGTGGCTTATTATAAAAATACGGCGTTACATTCACTTTACAAAGACTTTTACTTGTTATTTTTATTTTTTGTAAGAAATAATAATGTTTATAAATGAACTAAAAATATATCTTTAGGGAAAATAATAAGTGTGATACTAAGTTTACAGATCAAAGACTTCCCACAGAGAAACTGAGTGTTTTATTTGACCTGTTTAATTCTACACTTCTAGCTTATTATGTTGTCAAAACACAAAACATAATAAAAATTACATCACATTATTTAGCTAAAATTATCAAGGAATAATATTTTTATTGCTTTTTATTATTTTCCTGTCATGTTAAAATAAAATGTAATAATAATAGATGATCTCTGGACGTCTATTCTAGATTATTTCATTCATATTTTTTGTTAGCGTTATAAATAAAAATGGTCAGGCCTTTTCGCATATTAACATGAATGTTTCCGATTGGAGGTCAATTTTAGGGACAAGCTAAGTAAAGCCTATTTAGGTTTATCGGGTATTTCAATTTGAAAATACTTACTAAGGGAATGAATTCCAATCTCATTACATGGGTTTAGCCAGTGGGTGTATAATGTGTGTACTGTAATTCTGTCTACGCCCTCAATATTATATGATGCTGACGTCACACACAAGGCCGTTTCACACAAGTCATCAATAATATTATCATTGTTGCAGGCAGGAGACGCCGTCACTCGTAATCAAGATAATCATCAGGCGACATTAGATTACAATGCACCAGCGCTAATGACTGACCATTACCCAGTCACGCGACATCCCCAGCCATGAACACCATGTAATCATTGCGCCATGGACCACAACACCAAGAAAATGTTTACGAAAACACATCGATTGTGGGACAGGAGGAGGCACAAAGTCGGACGATGACACCGCCGGCCACAACAATAAAATAAAACAACATTTTTCGTTAACAACAAGCTCTTAGTGTAAAATCGCTTTTTTGTGTGTACGCGACTTACCGTAATCTTCATTTGCTAGTTCGTTTCGTTTCTCAATCAGTGTTCTCTCAATAGTTTCAAGCAATATTAGGTAAGGCCTTCGAGTTAGTGTAAATATTGTGTTCGTGATCGCTTCAACTCAACGTTCGGGTAAACGGGTAATTAGTAATTGTATAAAGAGAAAATAATAGTCAAACACTTCCGTTCCTATAGGCAATACATTTTTTTAAAAGTAAATCAATTATACAGTTATTTCAACGGGGCCAAACTTTCAATCTGTCTTACAATAATATTAGTTAGATGAATTTTACAAATCCGGAGTCGAGAGCCACGATGGTGCCGAACACGACGTTGTTGACGAGGACTACAATGTCTAGTGGTTACAATGGGACATTCGGTCCGAATAGTACATTCTTGATTCCGACGTATATGAGCCAGGAGGAGTTCTTCGCGTTGCAAATGACCAATGGGTCTGACGCGAACACGACGTTGTCGAATGACACTACGGTAAACTTAGTTCTAAAGACGTGGTACCCGAGTGGGTACTCGCCGGCGCATATAATAATAGCTTCAGTGGTTGTGACGGTGTTAATGATAATGGTGGTAGTGGGCAATATGCTGGTGATCATTGCGATAGTGACGGAGAAAGCGTTGAAGAACATTCAGAACTGGTTCATAGCCTCATTGGCCGTGTCGGACTTCTTCCTCGGCCTGGTGATAATGCCGTTTTCATTAGCGAACGAGCTGATGGGCTATTGGATTTTTGGGTTCTGGTGGTGTGAGATACATTCGGCGATGGATGTGTTATTGTGTACGGCGTCCATCATGAACCTGTGCCTGATCTCACTCGACCGGTACTGGAGTATAACGCAGGTGAGTTATTAGATGAGGTAGTTTTGTAATATTTTATTCTACTGTAAGTCAAAGTTGAATAATTCGTTACAGTTAGGTATATTCAAATAAAATACTCTACTTCCCACAGTTTAATTTAATGGTGCCGAACCAAGTATTGATACATAAAATTCATTAGTTTAAACATTTTAACTCCTAATTAAAATTCATAAAGTTAAATACAGCGTTCCTTATTTCTCTTAACTGATTATTTTTACCTGAAATTTAATTACAGCTCAAAACAAAATATCTATCTGCAGAAAATATTATATCTTTACCTCTATAGTCCTTATCTCAGGAATCAGTCTATCATATCCCTTCAAATTCAAACCAGAATCCAATCCCACGGAAAAATTCCCAAATCAAAAATCTTTTACACAGATTGTTTACAAAAACAGTCGAGTTGGAAACTGCTGGCAATATTTAGTTCGGCAACCGGCAGTGGCAATTTTCAGTGGCAATGTTTTTGACTTTCAACCTCCAGTGACCTCATATAACCTCGAGCTAGGGTTCCTAGATCAAAATAACAACATTCTGGAGAACTTTTTTGTGAAACAAATAAAAAAGGAACGTTGCGCCACCCTAGGATGTTCTCCCGTGTCGTAGATGCGTTTACAAACATACAAAGTCACATATACATGATATTGCGATCTAAAAAAAAAATTTGTGGGTCCCACAAGGAGTTGTTCGTTGTGCAGCAGCCGGCTCGACGTGCAGGAGAAGGAACGGGGTGGTTTTTAGTCAGTAAGAGTCTGACACTACCTCCCGCCTCGCCCAGGCGGGAGCAGTCATTCGATGATTTTCCACCCTTAAAAAAAAGCCAAAGCGCTAACTGGGCAGACAAAAACAAACATTATATACGAAATGAATATCCGAAAAATTTACAAGTTGTTTATTATTATCGTAAGCATAATCGCTTACCACCAGGCGAGATAGTGGTCAAACGTAGACCCATTAAATATAAAAAATATTAAAAAGAATATTATGATGCACACGTGGATAAGAGTTGAGAAAAGGAAAGCGCAATGCCCATTACTCGAGGACTAGCCTTCGCTTAATTTTTTTTAGTTAATATTTTGTTTCTTTAGTATAGGGCACAATTTATAGAAAATTCCAGTTGTATGGCAACCCTACCTTTAGCTAAACCGAAGACTGGCAATATCGAAGCGGTATCGGCGACCTCTACTGAATTATTTCGAGCTGAGCCAAACATTGTTAAAGTTTGCACGGTGAGTGGGCACTGCATATACAAGTTACATTTTGGGGATTGGATTTTAAGTAATCAAAATTTGAAACTACGTGTGAAAGTTGGAAAAGAAGTGAAGATCAAATTTTCAAATTTCACTTTTCAAAACGCCTGGTCGACGCATCTCGTGACTAGAGAGCGACGCTGGTCTATATCTCGGTCAGAGGTTAAGTATTAATCTGCAATGTGGTAATGCTGCCAGCCGTCCGGGTCCTTTCCCTATTGAAGTCTACGTAGACGAATTTTTTGATGCTCTCTGTAAATAGTTAGTTTTAGTTTTCTTTTATTTGATTTTTATCTTTTAGTTATAGTGTCTCTTAAGTTGTACATATTTATTTTTCGTTTCCTTATGTTGTAAACATCTCAGTTTTAATATAATTATAGCAAAGTAGGTATGCAGTTTATGAAAGTTCTTTATTCTTTAAAAACTATACAGTTACAAGTGTGTTTAAGTCACTTTCAATTGCAATGATGCAAATCTATACAAATAAATAAAATTGGAGTGTCTGTTTGTAATATTAAAATAACTGCTTCCTACTACATGCATATGAGTGTACCACAATGGTACAAAAGTAATATACCTACCTAGACATACGTTAAAATGTCTTTGTATCGCATTTTGTCGTACTAATTGTATTTATCACCGTGTACAATAAGAAACAAATAATTCTAATAACAATACAATTCGACATGTCAGTCTTCACTTCAGCCCTACATAGGTCAAACCATCAAATTTCCATACACACGAAAATCTGTTACCAAAATCGTAAATTCAGCGTCCATTTGCAAACCAAAATGGCGTTGCTTGCAGTTTGCATCTTGTTTAACAATGAATATTTCAAACAGCTTGCCCATAGGCGAATTTCAATAGTGACAAACCGACCAACCGGTTTGTACTGGCTAGTACCGGTTTGTACTGGTTACCGGCGGTTCGCACCGGTTCTAACCGGCTCAAACTAACTCACAGTGGGAGAACACCGGATTATATTCCAAAGGCGATGGTTTGTGCTCATTTGTGCGTGAATTCTGTTCTCAGTTAAGATTTGTCGTTTAGCTTTGTTAGTGTAACAATGGTTCGGTAAGTGATAAAGTTAGTGCAACTTGGTTAAGTGAAATGGTGTGATTTGGTGTCGGTTTTAGTTTTAGTGGTTTCTCAACAGATTTCCTATTATGCTGAAGCAATTTTGGTCAAATCTGCTTGTTTTCTGTTAAATTTAAAACTGGCTCAATATCACTGTGTTCAATAATTGCTCCCAAGGCTTCTTGCTCAGCAGTCACACTTGAGATCATTCAACCAACAAGGCCCATGACCTTTTCATAACTTTCTTTAAATCAAAAAATGAACTCAAAACAAAAACAGTACATCGACCTTACCAATCAGACTTCGATAAACAAATTCATTCATAAAAATATATTTTCAAAGAAAACAAAAGGTCGCACATTAACAATGGCGGTGTAAAACAAAATAAATTGAAGTCCATTGATGGGTATTACAATGCTGTGCCGTACCTCTTTCGAGTGAATGAGGCAATGGCCATTGAACATGTATCCACGTGCACAATTGTTAGTAGAATTATGTTTGGCTGTAGTTAATATATTAATGTACATAACACTACATTTTTTATGGGATAAACTGGTAAACGAGCAAACGGATCACCTGATGGTAAGCAATCGGCGTCGCCCATGGACATCTGGAACACCAGGGGCGTTATAAGTGCGTATTTAACATTGACTGATGATTTTCGGAATTGTGCCCGGTATATGGCAATAAGCTCACCTCCTATTACATGGGACTCATAAGATAAATAGTGAAAAGTGGGTGTTATATTGTAGAGTAGCATTAAGTGCCTATCCCTTCGGGGATAAAAAAGCGTGATGTTATGTTATGATTTTCAAAACTTTCAGTTCCAGCATGAATTCTAGATTTTATTTTTATTTTTGTTTGACCGACGTTTGTCCACTGTCTTGCCTAGTGATTGATGAATAGTGGGCGTTATGTACCACTAAATCAGTTCTGATAACGGACTTTAAAGCAAGCGATACCTTACTTACTATATATCTACTCTAACATAAATAAAAATAAAACGTAAATAAAAATATTTCAATCTGCAAATGAAATTCATTTTATCGATACAAACACTTTTCCCTTTCGAACAGCGAATGAATGAAAAAACAAAAAAAAAACATCGCACGTCCATATTTGATTTGAATGAATATAAAGAGTACCATTTTGTTTCTCTCTTTATTTCGTTCATAAAGTGTTTTATTTCAAATAGTGTAGTTGGGTATTTAGGTGTTTGTTGAAAAAAAAAGAAAAAAATAGTTTATACCTACTTTTTTATTTTTTGTCGTCAGCTCGTTTTTTGTTCAATGGAGAGATTTATGTGTAGGAGAGCCATGTTTCGGCACGAATGAGCCGGTTCGACCGGAATGATACCACGGCCTCACAGAAAACCGACGTGAAACTACGCTTGCGTTGTGTATCGTCGTGTGAGTGAATCCCCAATCCCTGAATCCCCAACAATCCTAATTCCTACTTTCTAAAGGCCCGGTAACGCACTTGCAGCGCCTCTGGTATTCCAGGTGACCATGGGCAACGCCAATTGCTTTCCATCATGTGATCCGTCTGCTCGTGTACCGGCTTATGCCATAAAAAAGAATAGAGTTCCAACTGATTGTTTTTGACTACGTACTGAATTTTTTGTTAGTTTTTTTTGATAATTATTATTGTTATTATTTATAATATTTACCTAAGTAACTTGACCATTCTGATCTATTTCGAGTTATGTGTCTCGTGCTCTATACGAATTAGTTCTCATTGTAATTAAAAAAAAAGTAATACCGTTAACTCTACAAAAAACTGTAATATGTTCATAAATATTCTGTATTAACTATTAACCACTGGATCTTAATAAAAGCGTACAAAAACGACTCTTAACACTTACGAAATAAAAACAAATATAGCATGCAATTTTCAAACGATAAAATAAGTAAACAAACAACCCTATAACGACACAATCAATAAGGAACTCTGAAGACTCAGTCACAAAGTCTATTTTCGCAAAAACGGATAATATTAAACAGATTGTTATGAAAATATAACCAGATTGCGCATAAGCCGGTGGTCTTTCTCGCTAATTATTTTTAATTTAAAATAGCATTATCAATCCCCATCGTTGCGGTAGAAAACCGGGTAAAATATTACATACCCGGGTCTTAACCGGGATTAACGTGAATACGGTTTCAACCGGCCGTAAATAATTAATGTAGGAACGTCCTATTTTATTAATTATTAATTTTGTTGATGAATTATTTAATAATTTTGGTTAGAAGCACTAAAATATTACTGTTGATTATATACGTCTTAGTAATGTCGTAGAATTATTCAACTAGGCTTAGGAGGACACAGAGAACTGTCTCTGTTTATACATAATAGGGTAGACGACTAATTTTTATTTTAATGTCCGTCTGGTAGATTATTTAAAAACATTAGACACGTACTTTTTATTTTCTCACAGAAACGAATAGTTTCGAAGATATATTGATTTGAAATGTCGCGTGACGTCACTTCTCAGTACATTTTATACTAAGAAATGACGTTTTAGCCCCCACTCCTAAACTTTGATTCGTTTTATCTAAGTAGTATAAGTATTGTTTTATTATACGACAAAATAAAAAAATACGTGTCTAATATTTTTTCATTACCTAACTTACGGACTAATTATATTTTTAATTTTCATACCCTGTCATCATCCCCATTATCACGGACAGTTAGAAGCAATAAAGTCCAAAGACAATATAAGACTAGCTAAGCAAAAGATAGCAAGGTGCGAAAAGGCGTGATGTTATGTTATGTTATGTTATAAACCTATTATAATTATTAATGGAATATAAATAAAGATATGTGAAACTTGATTTCTGTCCTCATAAACTATCTGTACGAGTAAACATACTTTTTACCAGTCACTTGTACAAATGTAGACGAAGATACCGTATCACCAAACAGCATACACATCTAACCGCACCACTCAACCAAGACAAGGTTTATCTTACCCGGATAAAACACAAAAAACCGTCTCACGCTAAGTAAAAAACCGGATAATCCTTAAAAATATTCAACAGTGTGAATGTATCCCACTACTGGCATAGTGTAAACTCAATGTTTAATTCAACAGTATACTATATCATTGTACGGGGAAAGTCATGAATGTCCCTTGGGGGGCAAAAAAATGTGAAAATACAGAAAATGGACGCTTTTGTGACTCCTAGAGGGTAGCACGGTATTTTGTCACGTTGGGTTCCGTCGATATTTTTTGTTGCAATGTCTTAAGGTTGTGATGTTACTCGTACTTCGTCTTTTTTGGGAGTCCTATACTGGATTTGATGTATTGACATTTTGGAGATAAAAAACTTTAACAGTGTGCTAGGGCGAAAAATTTATTTGTTATTGTTGGTATGCATTTTCAGTCAATTTAAAGTCCAATGGAAATTACTAATGAACTAGCTTTTACCCGCGGCTTCGCTCGCGTGTCAAAAGGAAAAAAGTAGCCTGTGACGTAATAAGATACCAATACACACAGCGCCATCTATACCAATACTTTTGTTTTCCCTCGGGAATATCACATTTTTTCCGGGATAAAAAGTATCCTATTATTTAATCCGGACTTCTAACTTTACGTCTGCAAAAATTTAAAGCAATCAGTTTAGTAGTTACGGCGTGAAAGCGGAACAAACAAACACACTCACTTTCTGATTTATAATATTATAGTATGGAAGGATGGTGCAATTTTTCGAAAGTTTGAAAATCCACGACAATACTTTGCTCGCCTTGAAAATCAAAACTGACGTCACTAGCATAGCAGTCACTCGTATCTTTAAACAATAAAATATCCCTATAATATAAATCGAGATATAACTAACAACACTCCATCTCCCGCGACATACCTAATCTCTCTCTGTCTGAGTAGAATTATTATCATAATAAGTG